TTCAGCAGGCTCAATGCAGCCCTGAACTGATGCAATACTATTTAATTCCACAGTTGGCTCAATCCCAGGGCTATGCTTGCTTTGAGAAAATGTTTTCAGCCCTGTGTCTTCATTGCTAAAATTTCCAGCCTCAACTTCCTCACTAGGTTGCCTTGTAAGGTTGCAAATAACATCACCAGCTACTGAGCACTCAGCTTTATGACCTTCAACAGAGCCAATAGGAGAGGTCCCACCAATGGTACTAACACTATTGTCAGGAGAAACATAATCTAGACTCTGTGGGCTAAGAGACACGCGTTTCCCAGGTTTCTCCAGCATCACATCCACCATATCATTATCATTCTTCCTCTTAGCATTTCGCTCTGCTGAGACAGACTGGGAACCAGAGCCATCCTCACAAGGTCTTCCACACTGCTGATTCTGGTGTCTGGATGGCCGAGGCCTTTTATATCCATTTGGGAAAAGAAAAGCAGGAAGCTGCTTTCTACGAACATGAGAAACATACACGTCCATCCCATGTTTCCAGAACATATACATGTTTATATCTTGCTTGAACTCATCAACCGTAGCACGTATATCAAACTGTTGACATTCTTGCCCGCTCACTCCCTCTGCCCTCTGCAAACCCATGAAAAAGGCGCAGTGCGGAAACCTCCTGGATGTGTCCACATACTCATTTGGATGAGGATGGCACATCAACATCCCATTTGTGTCTCGTTCGATCTGCATGATTGGATATAGTAACAAACCATCAAAATATCATACTTTTTCGGCCAACAGTAAGATGGAAAAGTATAGCAGGTTCACAGCTGTGATATTTAATGAACATAACAGCCCATTTACCTTTAATGTCAGCTGTCTGAATCGCGACTCCACCCAACCTTTCCAAGCCAACAAATCATCTGCATCTGCTGCCACTACATCAACCTGAAGGTAGTTTTTATATGCCTCGAAAAACATATATTGCTCAAACAAGGAACTCCATTTGCTTTTATTTAGCTCAATCTCCTGCATTAAAAAACTATAATTAGAAAGACAAGGCTCTTGAATAAATGGTTCGAACAGAAGGTTCCCCATCATTATGATACAAAGGAAGCTTTGTGAGGTCAATAATTGCAATGACTAACAGATGTCATGCCCTCTCACCTGACAGATCTTGTTACCAAACTGAAACTGCTCTGTCATGACGCGAAGAGTGCTTTGAGAGACATTGTAACTGGAATTCATGCATGGGTATGCTGGAGTTATAATTGGCATATGATGATACCGATCACGGGGATTTTTACGAGGATCCCAAACAGGAAACCCAAGCTCATCCTCTTCTATTGCACAAAGCATGACAGGGTTTGGCCACCGCCATTGAGTGTATACTCTGAAAAATCGAGATACCAGCATACTTGGAATTGCATTTGGATATAGCTGGCACACTCGTGCAACCAAAAGTCCCCAGTTTACGCCACCCAGGAATCCAGTAACCTATACCAAAATAAAAAGGGTGATAAAACTTTGAGAATGGAAGTATGTTCAACAAAAAGGAATTTCATAAAGGCATGATCTTACATTTGAATAGATGCCACGCCTCCTAGCCCAGTACTTCAGGCATCTTAATGCTGTCCGGAAGTGCTACAGTTGTACATGATGTCAAGAGGGGGTTGCGGAACAATTCATCAACTTCATTAACAAAAATAAATGGCATTCAATGAGCTTACCTCAACATTTGGAACCAGCTTAAGAATTTGTTCAGCAACCCTACAACCATTAAGACTACGAACTGTTTGCTCATCCACATCATACAGTATGGATGAGTTGGAGATATCCAGATCCTGTTGATAAATTAAATCCAGAAAAACACAAGCATCTAACTCAGCAATCAATTAGAACCTCTCATGACTCATGCGGCTCATATACTCATTTATTCCATTGATTGTCCAATTTCTAAACACAACTTTGTTTAATGCGTCACGGTTCATAGAGGAAAAGCAAGACAATACCGGTGACCATCAATAAGCAAAAGTAACATAAATACCAGGAAATCTACGAAGGGTAAACATCATTTTATCATGTACAATCCATTGCGTTCCAGCAGAAACCGAAAATACTGACTTAAATTGATCAACAAAATAAAATTACCTGTGGCACAACTAAAAGTGATATGCTGGCATAAAGCAGATCAATAGATATTCCTTGAAACTTAAATTTCATGACCGGGACATGAGCGTCAGGCACAGGATGAAGTTCAGTCACTTCTTCCATTTCAGCCAATATATCATGCAAGATAATGAAGAAATCTTCCTGGAAAATAATTTTGTTAGCAACTCAAACCTAATACCAGCCCTTTGCATCAATTAGAGAAAGTCACCTCTCGGTTAACATAAGATGGCCCAACACACAGCGTATCAATATCAGCCCAAGGTCCATGTACCTGCAAGTCAAGAAATGGAATTTGTTTTGCCCAGAACGGCATGAAAACAGACAGATACAGTACTTCTTGCCTAAGACTCAATGAACAAGCAAAATCATAAGTGTAGTTTCCTAACATTAATGCATTCACATGAATAAAGTGACAACTTTTTACAGAATCCGGACTCCGGAGTCAATAAGTCTCACCTATGACACAACTAATATGCAACCCTTTCAGCCAAAGAGATAATGTAGATGCACATCTGAGCTGCAACCTAACATGAATACTTACTCCAAGGCGGTAAGAACCAAATGTGACAATGACTGCATTAGCATCCTCCACCATCTGATCTGTGTAGCCCCTTTGGCGGGTCAGTTGCTTCACCCAGCATTTTACAATCTACAGCCAAAACATTGTTAAAAGGACTAAGCCCAAGACGAAAGATTAGTACTGCCAACACCTGGATCCAGAATAAGACATGTTACAACAGCTTTTAGCAGCACCAGACAACAGCAACAGGACACCAAAAGGAAATATGTTCAATAGCAGTGGCTTTGCAAGATTAAGCTACACTTGACCACATGGCATAGTTATTTCATAGTTCATACTAAGCAGGGGAGTGGGAGATGGATTCGAAAACCAAGCTAGACTATGCCAGATTTTGCTAATTCTATTTCATATAAAACCAGGAAACAAGCTAACCCTGCAAGCAACACAAAGCAGACCATACAACACATTGCTCCCATATACTTGTCAGTCCATCTAATCATCAAAGGGACAAACTTTTTGTAGCAATGATAAAGGCAATCAGCCAAACGTGCTTTGTCACCTGATCAATGCGACCTAGAACTTCTTCTCTCCGCTGGGTTTCCTCCTTGCTCTCGTAGAGCCCCACGTCAACCAAGAACTTCACACAACAAAATAATTAAACGCACAGAATCAGCCAAAACATACACTTCAAAAATTCCATTAATCAGGCGATAAAATCCACAGTACCTTCTCCAATTCCGCGTTTCGCTTTACATCCGCCGGCGAGGGCCCAGCGAGTGAGAGCGGCTTCGTGATTCCATAGATCTTCTGCGATTTCTGCGGCTCCGGCAGCGGCGAAGGACCATCGTCCAAGCGCTGAGTACCCACCATGGCGATAACACCCGTAAACAGCAGAAAACCCTAGACGATTCAAGCTACACGTATTTCTCAACACGCGAATTCAACCAAACTCGAATCAAATGCTCGGATCATGGTGATTTCTGGATCCAACAGAAGAAAGCGAGGCATAACGGGAAATTGCTGATGGAATTGAGGGTAACGAAAACAAAAAGCAGAGGCTATAAAATGTAAAGAAGGGGAGAAAAAATCGAAGACGAAATCGAAAACCCTGAATCGAAGGAAGGAGGAAGCGGCTGCAAATTCAATGAAAGTCAAAGACGAAGGAGAATCTCAAACAGGTTAAAATCGATTGACTGGCTCGGAGAGAGATCGAGATGGAAGGCGACACGCAGCGAGAGAGAGAGACGTAAGGTTGCGTTTGGGAAAGAGGTTACGATTAGGTTATGGATTTACATTTATTTATTGGATTAAATTATTATTAGTTAAGATTATTGGATTTTTTAAAATAATGTAATTAAATTGGGCTTTGGATTGAAAGTGGACCGCCCCGCGACGTCCACCTATATATCGTGAGATATTTTTCCGGGTTGTCTATTTGAATTTAACGAATTTCTCAAAAAAAAAAAATAAAAACAAAAAACACAAAACCAAATTCAACTATTATAAAAGAATTTGGTTTTTCTAATTTTTTCATTTATGATACTATACATAAAGAATGATGTGAAACATCTAACCTAGAAGTTGTATAATATAAATTTATATACAAAAATCAGTTTAAAATTCAAATCTAATATTTAATACAAATTTCCAAAATTTAAATTCCGTACCTGAATATGAATGTGATAGAAAAGTACCATCAGTAATTGGGCAATTGACCCTTATGTAATTACATTTTTCGGTCTACATTTTATCACAAAAATTTCTACTTATATTTTTTTTAGCTAAGTAAGTTATTTTCTACAATTATTTGTACATTTCTTTGTTATTTTACTGTATTAATTTAATATTAATTTTCTAAATATAATTTAAAAGAGTTCAAATCATATAAATGTTATAAATATTTGGAATTATTAAACCATCTAATCAATTATGTAAATTCGTTTGAAACTAAATAATTAAATTGATATCGCTTAAATTTTGAAAAAAAAAGATATAAAAAACTAAAATAATCATTTCTATATTAGATCTCAAATACGTAAACACTTTTTTATTTTATTTAGAGGTAATGTTATATTCATTTTTTCACGTTATTCTAATTATAGGATATAAGCCTATAAAAAGCATATAAAAAAAATATTTTACAACAAAATTAGCAACGAAATTCATTTCATTACAAACTTTACAACATTTTGCAACGAAATATTTTTTCTAACGTTTTAGCAACGAATTTGCAATATTTTGCAATGAAATTTTTCGTTGTCGTTAGCAAATCATAGAGAAATTTCATTGTCGAGACGTTTATTTCAAATCATAGAGAGATTTTTGCAACTTATACATTGAGTTTAATGCCAAATTCTCCACCTAAAATTAAACAAACCGTGGTAGAAGTGTCATATATATTTCTTCATCCAAATCACCATCAGAAAATGCATTTGACACATCCATTTGATCTAGAATCCAATTATCTGTATTAGCTGACGCAATGAAAACTCTTACGGTAGTCAGCTTAGCTACTAGACTAATGGTTTTTACATAATCAATTCTCTCAATTTGTGTGTACCATTTAACTATTAATCTCGCCTTATACCTCTCCACCAATCCATTTGCGTTGTGTTTGCTTGTACAAACTTACTTATAACGTATCAGCTTCTTTCCCACTGCAGAAGGTTGAGGGTTAGAAAAAAGGAAGAACAGTGGATGGAATTTGAGTGATAGAATCATGCACATGATTTTTAGAAATAGGAATAAAATCATACAGGAAATATGAATCCGCATTATCTGTCACATATACCATTTTTAAAATGTAATTAATCTCTGCTAAAAAAAATATTATATTTATCAAAGTTATATGGTTTAATTTACCCACTACTATAAAGTAACATTTTTAAAGCCTACGGCGTGATTCGATGGTTTTGTAAATACATGGTCGTATTTTTTTTTATATCTAACGACTATGATTAGATAATTTGGTTTCTAAATTAAATACAACTGATATCCAAATAAAAAGAAAGAAAAGTAAAATTTGAATTCTAAAACCAACAATAATATCTATTAGTTCCATATTGGATATAAAAAAAATTGGAGTATCTGATGTCGAGTTTGAGAATTCAGAACCGTTATGACATCCAAACCATTATTTAACCGAGATAAACCCTTAATAGCATAATTTTTGCATTTCTAATTTTTATTTTAAAATATAGTATAGTACGAAATGATCTAATGTCTATCCTTGAAAGCAAAAAGAATATATGCAAAACCTGACAATGGAAGAAAACCAGCTGCTGCTTCTGCCGGTTTTCAAAACCGGTTTCCGGTATTGTCCCTAAAACCGCCGCAAAATCGTAAGGAACACATTGCCACGTCAATACGACGTCGCTTTCACACGTTTCATATTATATTGAAACCCCCCTCTCACCTGCTGGCACACAGTATATATATTCCTCACCAAAATATTAAAAAAAAAAAGTAAACACAGAGAAAGAAGAAAGAGTCCCTCCGTTTCCGCAGGGGTTTGTCCGTACACCCACCGGAGAAGAAGAAGAAGAAGAAGAAGAAGAAGAAGAGGCATGGGTTCGAATTCGAACGGCGTCAATGCTCAGATGAAGTTGGTGGAAGGAAGTGCTGGTTACGTTCTCGAAGATGTTCCTCATTTGAGCGATTACATCTCTGATCTTCCGGTAATTTTTCTCCGACATCCTTTGTTTTCGCTGTCTGTGTCGTCACGATCTTGTCGCGTTAGGGGTTTAGGTGTACACATATGTATCTTGTTGCGTTGTATTACAATCGCACTGTACTTCCATTTGGATCTGTCTGTTGTCTGTATATAATTGGCATTATATGGACTTTACCTTCATAGTTTTCAAATCGGTCCGTACACGTGTAACTGCGTTGTGCGGTGTTTTCTGTGCATATATATTGACAGTGATGTATATATATTTTGTGTCTGACTGTGTACAGTGGGGTTGTCAATGAGATCCGATGATTTTGCTACCGAACGAGATGATTTACGCACACATACACAGATATACACTATACATATATGTATAAGATGTTAAATTTGTATATGCGCGGACATATATTTGCTTAAATATTCGTATTGCCATGTGGGTTGATAAGATCTGTTGATCGCCGGCATAGAGTCTATAGAAATTTCGAAGCTTTGATTTGATTTGATTTGGTGGTTATGAAATGCTTTCCTGGGTGGAACTTGTTGAAGTAGCTATGCGCCTAGAGTAGCCCTGCATTGTGGTGGAATCCATTTGGGTCGAAGAAATGTTTGTAATTGGTAAAAATGAGAGTTGTTTGCAATATCTGATGAGGTTCTTGGAATGGATTCTTTTTGTTGCTTGTAGATTTGTTTCTTCTTGATCTTTCATTTGTTTTATTGTTTTTCTTTTGTTGGGGGTTATCAGATCTATCCAAATCCATTGAGATCCAATCCTGCTTACTCGGTAGTCAGGTTAGTGGAGATTGAACTCATAAAGTTGGTTCATTTTGCCATCTTGGAGTTGGTTTACTTGAAGATTGATTAATGGGTCCGTAATCTGTGGGATTTTCAGGCAGTATTTTGTTCATGACGATGATTCAGTCCCACAAAAGGTGATCTCCCTTTCTTGCTTTGTTGACGTAAAATTTTGCTTTCTTGTTTTGGGATTTTTTCTAGTCCGCATCAATGATAAGTTCGGTCATTGATGATGCGTCGTATGCATGTGCCATTTGCAGGTCGTTGTTCATAAGGATACTCCGAGAGGAATCCATTTTAGACGTGCAGGGCCACGGCAAAAGGTATTACATCTCCTTGATTTATACCGTTGCTTTTGCTTTGGTTCTACACTAAGATTTAAAATCTGCTGATATGTGATTATTTGTTGTAACTTAGGTTTATTTCAAGCCGGATGATGTGCGTGCTTGTATTGTCACATGTGGTGGCCTGTGCCCCGGGCTAAATACTGTCATCAGGGAGATTGTCTGTGGCCTTCATTTCATGTATGGTGTCACAGAGGTCATTGGAGTAGATGTAAGTTCAATATAAATACCTTAAAACTTATGTGGTTTAGTTGATCTTATTGTGCCTCTCAGACTGACAGACATGGGACTGAGCTTTGTTCCAGTTGCATCTGCTTACTGATTCACCATTTCCGCCATTTTGTTGTTGTGTGCTGATTAATTGAAATATAATGAATCTTGCTTTAAATGATAGGTGGTTCTTTCAGTTTCACATCAATATAAAACCTGTTATGTATGAAAATTAAGAAAGGAAGCTAATGGAGTATTTCCGCCCTTTTTTTCTTTGCACTGAAAAGTTGTGTAGTTTTAAGGAATGGGAGATGCTATGCCCTTCATGGCTAATTTGGTCTTCTGTGTTACAGGGAGGGTATCGAGGATTCTATTCCAAAAACACTGTCACACTGACCCCAAAGTCTGTGAGTGATATCCACAAACGTGGTGGGACTGTTCTAGGAACCTCTCGAGGGGGTCACGATACGATAAAGATTGTGGACAACATCCAAGACCGTGAGATTAATCAGGTTTGTTAAGAGACGGAAATGCTTGTTGTTGTTATGGAATGGGGTATAGGTGTGTTTATAAAATTCATTTTATTTTATTTGCCTCGGGATCTAGGTTTACATTATTGGAGGTGATGGAACTCAAAAGGGAGTAGCTGCAATGTACGAGGTAAGTTTATTTAGCGTGTGGAGAAATATCTTGATTGGTTTCTTTTGAATAAAAACGTTGCTTAGCATCGTAGGCTACTACTGGCTGCTACCTAGCCAGAATATTTTATGAAGAGAATAATGTAGTTAGAGCTCATCAAATCGATTGCAGATTCTGAACTCATGATCCTCTAAATTGTTTTACTGAAGAGCACATCCCATCCTAACTTGTTCCACTTAATGTCTGATATCTATAAGATACCAAAAGGAATCCTGGAATTTTTTTAAAATTGTAGACTGTATAATATTCTTGGACTGGTGAAGCTTGGAATGTTTCGCATGCCTGTTAATTCTCCTTCCTAACATCATCTATGTATGGAAGTTGCTATAATTTGAGGAAAACAATGTCTTATGTGTTGATCATATAGGAAATTAGGCGCCGTGGGCTCAAAGTTGTCATTGCTGGAATACCAAAAACCATTGACAATGACATCCCAGTAAGTCCTAGATTTAGTTGCGAGCCCCTTCTCTCCCTTCTGGACTAGTTCACCGCCTAAGTTTGATTGTGCCTCTGATTCAGGTCATTGACAAGTCCTTTGGGTTTGATACTGCGGTTGAGGAGGCTCAACGTGCTATTAATGCAGCGCATGTCGAAGCTACCAGTGTGGAAAATGGTATTGGACTGGTCAAGCTAATGGGTCGCTACAGTGGTAAGAGTTTGTACCGATATGATAATTGTCGTTATTACTTGAATAGTTGAATATAGCTTAAAGAAATAGACCTTGGAAATATGGCCCTCGTCATGCAGGGTTCATTGCCATGTATGCTACTCTGGCCAGCCGAGATGTGGACTGCTGTCTGATTCCCGAGTCGCCTTTTTACCTCGAAGGGAAGGGAGGACTGTTTGAGTTCATTGAAAAACGGCTAAGAGAAAACGAGCACATGGTTATTGTCATTGCTGAAGGAGCTGGGCAAGAACTTGTTGCGGAGAGCATGGAACAGCAAGATGCTTCAGGCAACAAGCTACTTAAAGACGTGGGCTTATGGATGTCTGACAAAATCAAGGTATGACTTCAACTGTTGAATGGATGTCATCCTAAGTTTAAGTTTCCATCTTGTTTCCAGAACATGAAGCTTATCCATTCCCATCATGAATGTCATCATCATGAATATATATACTGACAGAATTCCTTGCATCTTCTCATAAGCCATCTTTCTCTTTGTTGCTTGTTGTAGGAACATTTTGCAAAGCTGAACAAAATGGCCATTACACTCAAATACATAGGTTAGTTTTCTCTGCATTCTTCACTCTTGAATTCGAGATATAGAACGATAAGTGAAAAGCTCTTCAATCGTGTTTCAGACCCAACGTACATGATCCGAGCTGTCCCAGCCAACGCATCCGACAATGTATACTGTACTCTACTTGCCCAAAGTGCCGTCCATGGTGCAATGGCTGGATACACTGGCTTCACCGTTGGTCTTGTAAATGGAAGACAGACGTACATTCCTCTCAATGTAAGCCTCTGTCTTACCCCGATGCTTAGTGACTAGTTTTACCGAGATGTTTCGCTGTTAAAACGCCCTCCACCCTCTATATATATATTCGTCTTTTGCGTTTTGACAGAGAATAACGGAGAGGCAGAACAACGTCGTAATCACAGACAGAATGTGGGCTCGGTTGCTTTCATCCACAAACCAACCCAGCTTCATGAACCCTAAAAGCACCACCTGAGAAAGAAAAAAGGCCATGTAAGATTTTTTGAAACATTTGTTCTCTGCTAAAACCTCTATCGTTAGAAATAGACTCGTTACCCCTGTTTTTTTTTTTTTTTGTTTTTTTTGGTGAAGCCGAGTTTGTTATTACATACACATGATGAAATTGGCTACTGAAGTTTCTTTTCCGATAGAAATTAACACGAGACAAAGAGGATTGTCTATGGTGTATTGCATGTTACTACGGAAACCCGGTTTGCAGACATCTATTTTACTCTTCTTGTCTTAATGTGTGCTTGCTACATGGAAGCGTTGTTTCTGAATTTGTTGCACTGATTTAAAAAAAAAAATCAAGATCTGTACATCATGTCAGATTACAGGGTATCATCCAAGATTGGAACTTGGATTTGGACAAGGTATCATCCGATCTTCTTGGAATTGGTTGGTTTTGGACAAGGTATCATCCAAGATTTACAGCCTCCGAGGATATAACCACACCATTAACCATCTGATTCTTTTAACATGCGACAACGCTTTACAATCTTCTTGAAATCATCCAAGCTTAGCTGAAAACCCAAAAACAATAAAACCCTCGAGTGAACAAACAAAGGCTCAAATGCAAAGTCTTATGAAGCTTAAAAGCTGTGAAAGCACACCGACCTTTCCATCGTTGTCACCGTCATAGCAGTGGATCATGTCTAGCAACTCCTCTTTTGCCCACGTGAAATCATGCACCATCGCCATTTTCGCCAAATCTCTCACCGTGACAAACCCCTTTCCCTCCTCTGGTTTTAGAGACGAAGATCATTCATCCATCCCATAGCATCAACAAAACTATGATCCAGTAAAAATTTTGGATGACCCTCGAAATTTCTTGGCTCTAGCAGTAGTTTTGTTCATTCGAAACACACAGGGGGTACATGATGCAATTTGATGTCTAGTCTCTGTTATAGAGCTCAACTCAAATACGAACCTAACTGCAGTTCTCAGTAACATAAAAGACCAACCAATTACAGATATATTACCGTCGAACTGGTAGAAGTATATGATCAGCTCATCCTCTGTCATCTGCAACCGGCTCACAAACTGCTACCAAGAAAACAAAAGGGGAAGTGCAATCAGCAAAACGACTGAAACAGATCACTAAAGATGTTCTATGCAACATTGAAAGATTGGGAAATAAAACAAACCGGTTTTTTCTTCTTTCCGTTTCCTGATTCTTTACCGCCGATGTTCCTCTTGCTCGGAGCAACGGACGGACCTCCTCCTAGAGTATCCTTTAGAGAAAGCTCAATCGCCTGCAGTGGAATAAGACCAAAAGAACGTTTACTGAACCAATATGAAATCAAATAACCACACCACTAATGTCTCAACAATTTCATCCTACCTTCCTTAAGTTGTCCTCATCATCGTCCTCCTCAATGTAACCTCTTGCATTATCCACATTCATTTTAGATGAAACATTCTTCTTCTTCTTTGATCCCGCACCTTTGTTCTTCACCTGATGTAATATTCAAAGTAAGAAAATCCATCATGCCGCACACCCAAATGGCACCAGAAGTCAGTAATATTGAATCTCACATGAATTTGAAGACGCCAAAATCAGTTATGCAGAATAGCAGATATACAAGCTTTATCAGAAGAAAGATAACTTCCACTGTATCATGCATTGTATATCATGTTAAAATACTATAGAACAACAACAGGAACAAAATCGTCCAATGCCTAATTCATAATTGAATCAATTTCTCAGCTTCCAAGAGGTTGACAAAAAGTTTGAACTTTAGATACGGGCACTCACCTTTCGTTTTCCAGAACCAGAACGAATATGCCCGAGAAACTCCTCGTCTTTGTCATCGTCCTCTTCGTATTCACCATCCTCATCGTCGTCGTCGTCATCAGCTTCACCTGGCCTATAATCGTCGTCTTCCTCACCAGACTTTGCTTTTCCTCTGTGTTTCCTCCCACCAGGAGACAAACACATCAGACCAGACGCGGCTTTGGAGAGACCCAGAGCTTCCATTCTTGCTTTGTTCTCTGCGATCCTCGACAACCGCTGCTTCTCGTACTCCGATATGTTCCCCTTCCGCTCGACATTGTTAAGCTCCTCAGACCCCTCTCCCGAGCTTGAACTCTCTCGGTCCTCGCCTCCTCCACTCGCCATTTCCTCCGTTTAATTTGGGGCAATTTTGTGGACTAAGGGTTTTAACGCGCCTCCACAATTTGCAGTTGGAATCTGCCGCTCCAAGTCGTTAAACCAACCGGAGAAAGTCATAAAAACCAAGTAAAAGGAGTACATGCTCACATAGAACTACATAGAGAAATCCACAGGATGAATGTTTTTTTATCATGGAAAAGTTCGATTTTTGTATCAATAAAATCAATATTACACTAAATGATATCAAAAACCACAAAAATGGGCAGAACATCTGAAGTCTCAGAGGAAAGATCAACTGCAGAACTCGAAAGTTCCAATGAACCAAACAAGCAAACCAGAAAGACTGACACAAAGGGGGGAAAAGGAAGAACCACCATTTTGCAAAAGTGAATTACAGGGAAAAAAACTTTTAACCAACATAAAGCTTGATTACCAAAGGATAAAAGCCCAAAACCAGATGCTAAACCGACTACTTACGGAAAATAAAGCTAAATAACAAATTTCTGCAAAACCTGAAGCTTGATTGCCATGAAATTAATGGTGTTATTAAGCTAAAAGCCTCAAGAAACTAACTTGACGACCAGGGAGAGAGAATCAACAAATCCAATTTCTTGCAGACTCTAAAAGTTGACTAATTTACAACAGTCAAATAACTGATCTACCCCCAAAAAAATCAGAAATTACACAACACCAAACATTAGAATCAGGACCTACATGGCATGAAGAGCGGACCACTCAACAGATGAAACAATGACAGAAATGGGTGCGGCATCTTTCGCTAAAACAAGTCAATCGCAAAAAGAAACCTACTTCTATGCAAGAGGATCGTCAAAAGGTAAGATTCTTACACGCGCTATTGCTCCGCAGGAAACGAAATAAGCAAAACATTCAGCCAATAATCATCCGAAAAATGAAAACTTTCGCTCAACCCTTCGATTCGAAAAGAAATTTGAACAAACCCCAGAAAAAAGAAGGGAAATTTAGTAGAAAATATCATTCAATCAGCACGAAAACATCAAAACCAGACAAAGTTTTACTGCAAAATCGCCGAGAATAGAAAGCAAGGACGAACAGCTTACCTCAAATGTGCAGTTACCAATACCCACGATCATAAATTCACGGTCAGAGCTCAAGGGAAGAGAATCTATAGATTCTATACCGACCAAAACCAGGTATCTTTTTTTTTTAAGGATGGAAAATTTTGTGTTTTCTTTTGTTTGTGGACTTGGGATTTTGACGCGTCCTCCAAGCCATTAAACTAATAAACCAATCGCTTTCCCTAAAACAAGTCAATCGCAAAAAGAAACCTACTTCTATGCAAGAGGATCGTCAAAAGGTAAGATTCTTACACGCGCTATTGCTCCGCAGGAAACGAAATAAGCAAAACATTCAGCCAATAATCATCCGAAAAATGAAAACTTTCGCTCAACCCTTCGATTCGAAAAGAAATTTGAACAAACCCCAGAAAAAAGAAGGGAAATTTAGTAGAAAATATCATTCAATCAGCACGAAAACATCAAAACCAGACAAAGTTTTACTGCAAAATCGCCGAGAATAGAAAGCAAGGACGAACAGCTTACCTCAAATGTGCAGTTACCAATACCCACGATCATAAATTCACGGTCAGAGCTCAAGGGAAGAGAATCTATAGATTCTATACCGACCAAAACCAGGTATCTTTTTTTTTTAAGGATGGAAAATTTTGTGTTTTCTTTTGTTTGTGGACTTGGGATTTTGACGCGTCCTCCAAGCCATTAAACTAATAAACCAATCGAGGGAAGTCATATAAACCGAACCGGTCCAATTCGGTTAGATCCGGTTTGTTCTTACCACCACAAACCGTAAATTAGATGCTGGTTTAGGGCATCAATATAATTTACATTATGTAAGCCACCGTGTTCTTCTAAGTTCTAACCCACACTACCCAAAGGAAAGTTTCATAATTTTTCCGCCATGGGAACCCGAGCTTTGTTTGTCATCTTATCTGCTGCGCCGAAGCAGTGCTTCGTCTTCGAGGGCGGGATCAAAACCCGAAATTTCAGTTATTTTCCTTCTTCTTCAGCACTCCATTTCCACAGACAATGTAGAAAAACCCACCAAATTGCTGCGAGTTCTTCCGCTCTTCAGCCGCCGGACGTGTCTCGTTTGGCGGAGACTGCTCGAATTTCTCTCACCGAAGCAGAGGTAATCTTCACTTTTCTACTTCTTATCCTCGTATCGTTTTGGATTTTAGTGGGTTTTGATTCCTCGTGTAGAATTGTGCTCTCTGGGTTGATTTCTTTGGTTTCCTCAGATCGAAGAGTTTGCTCCCAAGATTCGGCAAGTTGTAGACTGGTACGGATTTCTCTTTTGTTTTCATGGGTTTTTAGTTCTTATTATAGGATTGTGAGATTACATTATTTTGGATAATGTTGTAGTTTGATGCATTGTGGATATTTGGTTCTAAGACTCCATAGCCCTTTATGTTTCAGAGTTCATGGCATCTGTTGCCAAAGAATTTAAAATTCCCATTTACTGATTGCAATGTAGGTTTGGTCAGCTTCAAGCAGTTGATGTAAACAGTGTTGAACCAGCAATTAGAGCAGGTCCGACTCATATTTACTAATTTGGCGTTGCTTCTTTAGCTTGCTTGCTTGGTATATCAGCAAAATATCATTAAGCAAACTTTGTCACTGTTAAAAATGTGGTCAAATTTCCTCCTTAATTGGTTGGAATCTCCCATAGTCTGGAGATAACAGCGATGATCTATTCTCGGTGTTGTTTGTTCCTTCTGCATTTGGGGGATCAAATCATTTGGTCTTTCCTTCCTAGTGGTATTATCTATAGACTGGTGGATCTGTATTGGTGAAGTTCATAGATGGATTTCTAGATATTTGTTTCTTGGATGGTTCTCAATGCAATTTAACAAGCAATTTCTCTTCGATCAGATTTTGGGGGGAGGATGTAGTCTTTAGTATAGATGGAGCATCTGTACTGTTGAAATTGTGGTAGTGATCCTTTTGATGCATAGGCGGTGGATAAATGACTTTGATTTCCATATGCTTACTGATTTCACGGAATCGCAGAGATGGAAAGTGGAAATTTGCGTGAGGATGTGCCTGAAACATTTCAGAATAGGTTTGATCTCCTTACAGTTTGCTCCTCCCATGCCAATTGATTCAGTTTTAGGTGATACATTGAGAACAATCATGTTCTAAGGATCGAGGTTTTGTTTCTCAAACAGGGACAAGATTATAACTTCCATTCCAAGCTTTGAGGAACCATATCTAAAAGTTCCCAAAGTAATAAACAAGGAGTAATTTTTTTCATGTATAGGTACATTCCTCTTTCCTTTTTTCTTTTATGCAATCATCTAAAACGTATATGCATCAGGTCGTTTGCCAACGCTCGGATCAAAGTTTTCTTTTCACCCTTTGATTCGAGATTTGAAGAACAGAATGCATCAATGAGAGTTTTTTTTTTTTTTTGTGTGTGTGTATTTGCAGTGTGCTCGGATTCAACGAACATCATGAACCCTCAAAGCATATTCTCTTCTGGATGTTCAAAGCAAATCTATATCTGCAAATTTGTGTCATCACTTCAAGTCATTGTTACAGAACTTTGGCAACTTGAAGCAAAGTCATCTCAGATTTGTATTCACCAGTACTTTGTTTCAAAAGCATAAACAAAAGAACTGGAGATGATTTCTCTGTTAACTTGTATGAAATCCAGACAAGGGTTTATGCTTTTAGGCATAAATAGTTGTTTTCAACTTCAAGAGACACAAAGTTAACACACACATTGGGGCTTTAGCTCAGAGGCTCAGAGAACCAACTACTGTTTCTCCCGTAGCTTTTTATAGAATCACAAACACAACCCAAGTGATAATTCAACACTGGAATTTATGGTATAACAAACACTAAATCAGTTTGTGTAATAAAAATACGTTGTTGTCAATCATTTGAAACTCCCAGGTCAAGAACTCACAAACACATGGAGAGAGAGGATTGAGGGAATAACAGATAAGCCATCCAACAATGACCAACACAATTCTGCGTGATCCAAACACGTCTTAAAGGAACCGTATTACACAAAATCATCCACACCATTAATCAATATAACAATATACGAACAAGAAACTGTTAGTGAAAAGGAAAATCCGTTGCAAATCCTAGCTCCTATTTACATATAGGAATCCATCAAAAAAAGAGGATTTCTGAGAAACCAAGAACTAGGATGAACGGATTTAGATTCCGTTGGACACGAGAAAATAAACGTACCCTTTTGCTGTTTGTCAATCTTTCAGGCTTATTCTTCATCTACTTCTATGTGTTGTTAGCATGTCCCCTGAAATTCATCAGCTTGTCCAAACCAGAAACAACCATTAGCTCAACTGTTGTTTAGTGTGTGTATATATATTATATGCTTGTAGCTGTAGAGAATGTCATGACTGCCAGAAAAGCTCGAAGTCATCGCTGTACAATGAGTAATCTTGGATCTCGAGATTGCCCACGTGCCAGTTTATGAGTTGCGATTGCAGGATTTTGCAGAGGAACAATGCAACTGGAAAGATCCACCACTCGTTTTCGTCCCTGAAATGATCCAAGAAGACGGGGTATTTAGTTAGTTTTCATGCAAGTCGAATTTGATTGTGGTTGATTCGAGATTCTCTTCATACATGCTAATGTTCCATGGCTGAAGATAAGGAATCTTTTTCCCAGCTGATGATTGGCCATGATAGTGAAGATATCCGCAAATGAATGCAACAACCTGCAAGTAAACGGATCAAACAGTACGAAAAAATTTAGTATTATGGAAGACGAGAAGGGCACGTGAACTTCTCGGTGATATTTCAGATAGCAAAAGATGGGAAAAAGCGATCCCTAAATCAGAGAATGCAAAGAACTTTTAGTATTGCTTCTCTGGAAACTGAAAGGCAAAAGCTTTTCTGGAAGGTGAAAAAATGCCAGTGGCCTTTTGGCTGTACGAAAACGATTTTGATGGAAAAGTTTTGTGGGTAAGAAGTACTTACAACATTCGATAGAGAGGTGAGATTCCACAATGCATAAACACGAGAACGCGCAGCTGAGCGCCTTGGCCCGTGGCTAAACAGAGCGCTGATTCCAGCAGGAAATGGGAAAAGAATGCTGAGAGGTAAAATCAACAAATCGAGAAAGACATCGAGCAAAGATATCGAGTAGAGTTGGAGCAGCGTCAACAACATTACGCTAAAATCTCCTAGGAGTAGCAGTGAGATAACCAAGCCAACCAGATCCTGTCAACCAATATGAAATCATGAAAATCTCGAAACCATAGATACAATCCAAGGGCTCAGAAAACACGAAATCACAAACAAGTTAAACCTGGTGGCCAACGGGTTTTGTGTTATGGATTAAGAAGGAGAGGACGGAAAAGACGTCTGTTTTCTCTTTGAGCAGCTGTAAGCCGCTAATGTTTATGATTTCTCCGCACTCCCGTTGCTTCGCCCGATTGATTGCGCTTCTTAGGGCTTGATTCCAAACCAAAGTTTGTCCAGAACCATCATAGGAATTTGCAGTTTCTGTTCCCCTACGTATCCGAACTCAACCAAAGTCAAATTTCATATATCTCCTTGGTCGATTTCTTATTGGTTATATCGAAAAAGCTCACACCTTAAACCCTATACTTGCTATATTACCCGCCAAAAAATTTGGTAGCAAAAACAGGCATTGAGAATTCACAGTGAACAAGCCCACAAAATGATACAGCACATACAAATACTCGCAAGCAGAAGAGGGTGGCATTTCATGCTGAAGCAGAAATTCTTACCATGGATGATGCTCAGTTTGTGGCGGTTCATCAACACTTCTGGTTGATATCTCTTCATCAACTGCCACGGTTTGGACCATGAGTCCATATTGACAAGAAGCTGATGATGATGGTGTCTGAAATCTAGCAAGATCAACACGAACACCATGTATTTTCAAAGCAGGATTTCCATGAGTTTCAAGCCATCTCAGGACAGAACGAAACGTTAACTTCAGTCTCCCTTGGTGGACAAGACGCAACTGAGCATTCAGACCGGCAACAAACCGGTACCAAGTGGTCGGAGGGATCAACTATAAAAAAAAAAGACGAGGAGCAATACTGAAGCCACTGATGCTAAAAGTTTATGAAAAGATCGTATATGACTAATTATGAAACGTATTAACTCACCTGGCTCATGAGACTTGTTAAGATATTGTCGCTTTGGAGTGAGAAAGTGGCCATGTAACTTCCATCGCCTCCGAATATTAGTGGCATGGGAAATCTCTGATTAATCGGAGGAGGAAGATCTGTTCTCTTTTCATCACCGCCAAGGAAGAAATCAAGATATGCTAACATTAAATCCGGCGTAGCAGCAACCTGCATTTTAAACCAAAATTCATCGATTGTTATGTTCCCCTGTTTTGTAGTTTTCTTCCAACCAGAAAGAAAGTGAAATACCATACCACCTTGATGTAAATATATTTGAACAAAGAACAGTAAATTCACCACAACCATTTTGAATTCTTAGCATGGCATGCATCAACATGTAGTTGCATAACATGTATGTAGGTTTCCTTATGTGTCAAGTAACTATGCAGCTATGCATATCAAAAAGAAGAAGAAAACAAACTGAGGCAGAATACCTCAAAGGATGCATTTATACCTTAAGCCCCTCGTATAGAGCCCTTGAACGACATGAACGTAAACAAGAATGGTCATATTCTGACCGAACAAAGTCACGCAATCTCTCAAATTTCAGCCTCCGACGAGATTGCTGCCATGACCATGCAAGAGGATATACAAGAACTGAGAGCATAATGTAAACTGCACCCTCCCACCATTGATATGCAGCTATAGTATTGATCTCGTCAACGAATTCATTGTATGCAGCTTCATATCTGGTGAACATAAAATCAGAAGAACATAACAACCCTATATTACAAACTTGCAGACTTGAACATGTTTTTTTTTTTCTCTTTTTGGCCAGATAGGCTTGATCATGTTAATGCCAAATATAGAAATCAAAACTAGAACTAACTTGCTACCAAATGCAAAAACCAGAGTAATAACTTACACAATCTCTTTTATTTCTTCTGGGGGTGTGTGGGAAAGATGCCAAGGTTCACTGAAAGTATTAGGACCTAAAAGGAATATCCTATGCATGTGACTCTGTGATTCCTCCACTCTAGTTGTTTCCATCACCTGAAAATGTAAACAGACTCTAAAATGTTACATTAAAAAAAAAAAAGTCCAAGACTCTGCTGACTAAGACATGTTTGGTATTTGTAACCTGACATAGCATATATCTGCATAACATGATGTAGTACAATAAATCAAGAAACCTGACATAGCATATATCTGCATATCTCAATTTATCCTGATAGTTCTCCATTGATACTCAAGGCGGGTTGTTTTCTATGGATTAATTTCTACAAATAAAGTCAGGAGAGATGGAAAATGAGCGTGAAGAGAATAAAAGGCATTCGAATAAAAGAAAAAACAGTAAATTTACCTCGTTTAATGATTCAAGGAAAGGAAGGGAATGATCAATTTGAGAGCCATGATGGGCTGGGGCATTCCCAGGTGATTCATCAACGCTAACGAATTTCATCCGAGCAACACTAAAAACAAGTGCTAGAAGGAGGAGGACAACAATCAGCAGAACGCCAAACAACCAAGGTCCACCAAATGTGTGTATCAACTCTTCCAAGGTAGTATAACAGTTCGGCATGTGGTATCTATCAGAAATGCATCGATATGGACAAGGTGTTTCAGCAATACCACCTGTCAAGAAACAACGGAAATACACAATGACAGCACATTAGCATAAAACTACACATTGAATACAAAATCGAGAATCTTCAGGAGACGATGTGGTCTTTCATTCCATAGTCTTACATTTTGGTCAGAATTAGTGAGTCATGATCTGATTAGATTATGCTTCAAATACAGTACCTCGAACAGTGACATATACAGCACGATGAGGAAGATCGCTAGGTGGACAACGATGACAAAGGGCTCTATCAGATCCAGTAACATTCTTAAAAGTTCCAGTAGGACATGCCTATAGAATTCGAAACAATAAAAAAAAAAGGTTAAAGCTTGCGAGATGCCCGGATGATGTAAACCCCAAGCTATGTTAGTAGCTAAGCAAAAACCATTTCACCGAAACTGTAGCTTAAGAGAACAACCAAGAAGTTTAACCTTCTGTTATTTGGTTAACAGGAATTTCGTATATGTCACTGTGATTCTAGTGTGATTCCAGTTCTTAAGACAGCCTAATGTCCAGAGTCAAATCTTGTATAAGGAAATTCTGAATTCAGAAAACTAGAAACCAGAATTAAAAACAAAAACTTGTACCCAAAAACACTCTACCTCGCAAAATAAGCCATAGAGTCCTCTTGGACAAGCTTTACCGGTCACAGTTCCCATTTCTCCAGCACCACCTTCACTGATACTCTCTCCTCCCCTGTAATCAATTGTAGAAAATCACAGCAGGACAGAGAGGCATGATCAGAGAAGTAAACAAGAAACCTTCAGTAACATAATTGATCGTTTAAAACACAAATGATTACAGAGTATTCTCATCACCTGATAAAATTTTTCAATCTATCAACAATATCCATGTCTACAAACTTTGTAAACTTAAATGCATATAACGAGAAAAAATAAGAACTTTGTAAAACAAACCTTACATAAATTCTTCCCTTTACTTTGGCAATAGGATGATAGTCATCTCCAGTAGGAATGTCTGACCAGTGGAAATGAATCCTTCCACCACTTCCTCCTCCACCCCCATTGAGACTACCATTTCCTCCAATGCTAGAGAGAGTAGCAGACTTCCCTATATCAAGTGTACGCAAGAACAAAAGTACAGTTCCACCGGAACCACCACCAGGTGCTATACTTGAATTGTTTACAAGTCTGAGCATCTTCCTCGGGCTTCCACCATCAACTGTAATCGATCCCTCAAGTAACAAGCTTGACAATGGGTGCTCAAGAGAACCAATCACTACACAGGTCGGTACAACAAATATAAATATAAATATATATGTATGTGTCTTCACTAGAGAGACATTATGTACATGCTTAGACGTTTTCCTTTTCTATGTATCATAAGCTGTTAAAGCAATCTCAAGCAAGCTACTAAAACACGACGGAAAAAGGGCTTTTTCCATTTGTTGGAATGAAGAATTAAGCATTATTATTTGTTTTACAGACTGAACTGCTTGTTTCTGTGATGAGAAAGGGTCAAAGATGTTATCATATTGCGCAAAGTGTTGTAACGGATGCTATCTGAAATTTAAGGGACACGAATGAAATCCATCAAATGTGCCAACAAAGACTCACCTATGATTCCGCCACCAGCAACTGAATCAGCCGAATCTTCGTTCCCACTTCCACTGCCAAGTTCACATGGCAAATCAGCATTCCCATAAGAATCACCACCGTCGATACAATTATGATTGTAACATCCTCGTCCACCTTTACCACCATGTCCCCCACCACTACCAATTCCACTGCTCAGAAACCTACCTCTCCCAACTCCACCTTTGCACCCTATATAAATCATGTGCTAATATTACAACTTTTCACACAAAATTAAATGGTAAGTTAAGTAATAACACGTTCAAATGTATATGTGTGTGTGTGTTTACCCATCCAGTTTGCACTTATTGATCCAGAAGACTGAACAACTAATGTTCTTGCCAGGTGGAAATGGATAACAGATCCTTTGATGAGACCTTCAACAGTGATATCCTCAACTCGGCATATCTGCAACAGAAAGAAGTTAGAGATTAGAACAAAAAAATTTACCAGTTTCATTACCTTTTACTAAAAATAAGCGCACCTGGAGAGTGAACGATAGGGAAGAGTTGACATTGCAATCTTCCGGTGGATGGATTAGCTCAACAGGGCAATCTTCGTGTTGACAGTAAAGCCTCGGGGTACTTTAAAAATATATTAATAAATAAATAAATTTCAATGGGTTCGGTCCAAAGAACAGACAATATAAAACGAACAAAAATATTTTTTGTAATAGGATCACTCAAACCTTCAAAACTTACACGACACCACTTGATGCGTTCTGCAAAGGACCACGTAAGACAGCTCCGGCTCCAACCTTCACGATCATAAAATTATTTGTTAGTCAGCAATAACCTGTAATAGCCATGTTGCCAGAACCTATTATACTATTACCCTAAAATTCAAGACTTTTTAATCTTCTTTCCTTGTAGTCATCAAGCAATCAAATTCTAACAATTCATGTATCAGCAAGGCTGGTTCCTGGGAAAGGCCCCAATCACGAGCCAATTATACATTGATCCAATATAAGATGAAATGGATTAACAGAAACATCGTTAGCTTTTTGAAACATCATTCTACAAACCCTGATGTCTTGATTCCCTAGAAGAGAACAAACAATCTAAGACATAATCATATGTCATAGCATAAAACAGTTTCTTACGTGTATGTTGTAAAACAGAGATAAAATTAGACGTTGTGCTTCGATAGTGTCTCCTAGGCCTGTCAGATTCAATAGACCTTGTCCATGTACTCCAAGGTTTCCGTTGGAATGTATAACAGATGACTCCTAAACAAAATAAGGAAATACAGGATTCTAAATCAGATTTCCAATTGTACAAAAGAACAGTGGAGAACCATGACAACGAGGGAAAGTGAATAGAGTACCTTGAGTACTAACAAATTACTAATTTCAAGCATTGAAGTTCCTAATATCGTTGCTCCAACTCCTTCTATAACCATTTTCGATTTCCACATCAAGAACATCTTGACAGTCATGCGTAACGCCCCGTATACCTGATTTATAGCGTAAATATTAATAAACATGTGAAAGGGAAAAGACAAATACTGGCGTAATTCAATGTCTAGCAGAAATATATGGGCACCTTGATATCAGAATTGCTCATCAAGAGTTCCTCAGCAAATAATTCAAATTCTGAAGAAGCATAACGAGGAAGCCCAAAGCTTAAAACCCCTCCATTTGACAAGCTAATCAATCCTTGAACCTGTAAATTATGAAAATGTACAGTCTCCTAAGATGAAACAATAAAAGAAACCTAGTCTTGGAAGCTTTTGTACATGGAGATCAGTAGGACTATCATTTTAGATTTTCTGGCAACTAGAAGAAGAAAATACTGAAATAATTGGTATAGAAAGTAACTAGAACCAAGACAAATTTAAAATTTGAAAGCCAGAGAAGAAAGAGATTAGAGTGCGCCGCACAGAGACCATTATCGCAAAAATAGCCACTATGTTAAGGAAAAACATAAGAAGGAGAGGGAACACAATCACAGAATGAAACATAGCTCGGGTTTAATCATTGAAAAATTTATCATAGCAAGCAAATAGATTTGCCAGAAATAGACAGTTTAGTTTTGTAGTATAAAAAAACCTACAACTCACGAACCTGGACACGGCTCCAACGCAAAGGAACAGCAACTTTGGCATGATTTTGGATATATACGTTAGTGAAAATATGATGATAAGGGAACTCCAGAAGAAGAGTGTCTGTATATGTTGTCATATTGTTATTGTCAATAGTAAGGCTCTCTGAAACAACATCATATATAGTCCCAGCAGCTCCAGCATTGTCTGGACAGCCGAAACTACTACCCCCTGTAATAGAAGTTAAAACTTAGCAATAAGTTCGATGAAACAGGAAAAATGTCCAAATAAAATAGCTGGAGAACACAATTTTCACAAACAAACAGTAAAACAGTGATAATCAACATAATTTTCTGCTAAAAAAACACAAATCAGGAACTAAAACTGATTAAATTGCAATTTGCTTATCATGTTGATAGATAGAAATATCACAACTCACAAAACAAAGTAATGAACCATCAAATAACTTGTTAATTAATAACTTCATGAAAAAGGATCGTTCTAAATATCGTGAAAAAGACAAGGGATAAGAACAAGAGCATTTCAGTTTATGCAACATCTCGCAGAGAAGGAACAATAGAAGATCTAACCATGCACAAAGACTTTCGGGTCAGAATGCCGGCTGTATATATCAACTGACACCCGTCCACCACCTCCACCAGCATAACCATTACCTCCGGATGCGCTTATACGACCAATTCCCATCCTGCACATGACACAAAACAGAATGCCGGTCTTCAAGCTTGTTCCAGCGCAAACTAAACCGTGTTTTCAGATTTTAAACAAGTCAACCAAGGCATGCTCACATATATTAATAAGCCAGAAATCCAATAATCACAAAGCCCCATTTAGTATAATTAGCCGACAATGAAGAGAAGATTAGCTAAAAATTGAAACTAAACTATATTCTCTGCTTTGTCGTCACCCTTTCTCATACTCCAAACCTACAACTTTAACATGTGAAGCAAATTGACTGTGGCTTCAGATAATTCAACCACCAAAACGCAATAATGAAGGATTCATGGGGCCAGACTCCCAACAGATTTGACACTCCACTTCCTTATATCTTCTCCTTACCATCAATTGTAAAACCAGATAACAATTAAATCTGGCCTTTGCTGAACTCGAAACAAAAGAAAATCCATAAAGACAAACTCTACCACTTACCTTAAAGACATAAATATAAGAACAAGAGACAAAAAAGGACAAAGAAAATCGATTAAAAAAATATCAGGAATGCTTACATTTTGTGAGCTTTGATGTAGATGCTTCCACCGGACCCACCACCACCTTTGACTCCTCCATCGGCCCCATCGGCCAAAACAGAGCCGTTTATGTCGAGATTCCCTGGAATCTCCATCTCCACCGTCCCACCTCCGCCTCCGCCATAGTCGACCTCGTTGCTCGTCGACCCACCTCGGCTTCCGTAGCTCCTCGGCGTCTCCAGAGACGACCAAGCGTACACCTCACCTCCCCAGACATCCTCAGGAAGCTTCGTCCCGTCCGACAAGCAGCACGCGCCTCTCCCGCCGTGTCCGCCTCCCGAACCTTCCACGCCCTCAGGCGTCCCGCTCGTCTCGGGCGGCGGATCCCCGGCCAACCCAGTTGTGTCGACGGCGGAGCCGTGCCCGAAGGCGGCGTTTTCCGACGCGAGAATGAATGTCCCGGCGACCACCGAAGAGTTTTGCCCCAGCGAAAAATTCCCCGAGATGTTGACGATTATCGAACAGCCTGAGATTGGGCACTGCAATCTCACGCCCGGCAAGACATGAAGATTGCCCTCGCCGGAGATGAGGAGGTCACGCTCGAGGTTCAAATCGGCGACTAGCTGACACGTGGAGTCCAACGAGCCGACGCCGCCGAGATCATCGACGCAGGACACCGACGACGACGACCCGTCATCCGGCTCCGGCTGCGGCGCCGGAGATGGAGACGGCACCGGAGAATTGTAGTCCCCGTCGAAAAGCCTCAATCGAATTGCACTCTCATCCAATGAAAGGGATAAACCCAGAAATCGAGACAAAGCGATGAGAATGAGGAAGGAAAAACGGAAAAAGAACAACCGCGCCATTGAAGGGGAATTCAAATTCATCTGAAATGAAAACTATGGTTTTGAAATGGAAGCCATTGGATTCAGGAACAAAGGGTTAACTAAAAAATACCGTTACCACCCACTACGAAACTCGAATCAGGAATCGAAGAAAAACCCAGATAGAAGATAGAGAATTTTGTGGGGATTTCCGCGCGAATCAAGCGCGCAGACAGATTGTTCTCAACAAGGCTCTCTGCGTCTAGAGAGAGAGAGAGAGAGAGAGAGAGAGAGAGAGAGAATTTTCTTTGCCTTCGATAAAGAGAGAAATAGAGAGAGGGGGTTGAAGGAAGAATAGTCGAAGAGAGGCGCGCTCCGTTTGGTAAATGGTAATGGTGGCGAAATTTTTAGAAAGCTTAGAGCTTTCACGTGACCTTTCTCAAAAGGACTTCTTTCTGATTCAGCCAATGATATCATGACACGTGGAGGCTCATACCAAACCAACATAAACCGGGATTTATTCTTGTTTGAATTTCGGTTTAACCGGGAGCCTTACCTCGGAGACCAAAAAAAATATATTCATTATATCTTTAAAAAAATGTGCATACTCACACGTATATATTGGATTGTAGATCAGTGAGTTGAAAGGGACTGATATGGAAATTCAAGTTTGATAAATATTTAAAAATAATAATTTCTTTAATTTTTTGGAAAAAAGTGGAAAGATGCGATTACTTATTCATTAAACGATCTATCAACATCAAGATTGTATTTCGAGAAAGGGGTAATTGGCTTTGTGGATGAGGTTGCGTCGATTTTTGTGGTTGTGGGATTCTAATACATGGCATTGCTCAATTAATATAATAAAATGTATAAAAAAATAAAATAAAAGACAAATGATTTTATGGGTTTTTTTTATCGTAATTTATTGCAGAAAAGTGTAAGAAACTCGGGCAAATATTATAAAGACGACAACTCAACTAGTCCCTTGTCGGAAGACGACATTGGACAGCAAATCAAGAAAATATTTACTCCATTTTGCAGCCATAGCTATCAAAACGTCGACGTCATTCGCCATTTAGAAATCTCATGAAACCGAAGACCAAGTTACGAAAGTCTAAATGATATTTTATATGATATAATATGGTAGAGAAAATATGATCAAATGTTTTATTTATAAAATAGAAATCGAAATAACGTATTATATTTTAATTCAGAAAACCCCAAAATACCCTTCAATTAAAAATTCATTTATGATATCAAATCCAAAAAAGCTTCCTATATATACATGTAATTGAGATTTTAAATGATAACTAATAAATATATAGTTGATAATCTAAACGTATTAGTTACAAATATATTTATAATAATATTATCTATTAATTAACTATCTACAAATCCAAATAATTCCCAATATTTTAAAACTTAAAAAAAAAATCACCGTTTGAGTCCTGATTTTCTAAAAATATGTTTACAACAAGTCATTATTATTTTTGTTTTTAATATATCTAAATTGAATTTAAAATAAATAAATTGAAAATTTTATAGTTTTTTAGATATTTTAATGAAAATTTTATATTTGATTTAGATTTAAAAATGGTTGAGCTGTTAATTAATATTATTTAAATTTAATGATTTTTTGAGATATTCCATTTGAGATACAGACTTGTTTGGATTTGTAAATAACGATTTTTTTAAAAAAAAAAGTTGTATATTTTTCTGGTAAAAATATAAAAAAATGTCCCTATATAGTTATATTATTTTCATAACATAGGAACGACCCATGAACGATGGAATCTTTTTTCCTCACCAGAAAGGAAACTACGTAAGCGTCTAGTTTTAGATATACGTCTGAAATCTAACTAATCACAAATAAAGAAAGAATATATAATTAGGATGATTTTCGTGTATATATATATATATATATATATATATATATATATATATATATATATATACAAAAAGGGGGG